TATATATATATATATATATATATATATATATATATATTTTTTTTTTTTTTTTTTTTTCTGAAGTAAAATGATAACCATAAAATAGATTGGGACCAGTTTATATATGAATTCATGTTAGTTATGATAGTGATTTATTATTATATGCAATATCCCTATATATTTGGATATAAAAGGGAGAAATGCCAGAATATATTTTCTCAGTATTTGGAAACCCTTGTTATCACTGCATAAAAGGTTAAACTGGTTATACATTTGCAAAGTTTACACAAGAAAAGCCAATGGCCTCATTGTTGTGAATTTATAGCTATTTGCAACCAAGACAACAAAACACCCACAGTTGGCAACCTTGCTGTCAGCTTTCTTATTTTATTTTTTTATAAAACAATAAAGACCACATCATTATTTTTCATATAAAATATAAACCATCCCTATTAACGAAATAACCCTGAGCGTTATTTTGTTCTTGATAATGTTTTTTTTTTTTTTTTTTTTCCGTCAGGCACTTGTATGGACTCCTCTACTCGTCGTTGGAGGACGACATCATGGCGGCCTCCTTGCATCTGGGTCGTCAGGGAGTTTTATTTGGTCTCAGGTTGTCTCAGTTCAACAAATGTTTGTGGCACCGACAACCGTGTCAGGAGCGTGTGAGATATATCTTCCAGTCGTCATGGGTCCTCGGTGAGTGTTATACTGTAGTAATAGGGCTACCCTTTGTCCTTTTTTTAAGATGACATTTTGTTGCTAGCGTAAATATAATGGTCCGTTTCCGTTTATAACGTTTTCGATCCATTTCCCATTATTTTGCCGTGTGTCATCATATACAACAGCTTCTTTATTATGTATTACGGTATTTGACTTAACCATTTCCCTCGCGTTAAGGTTATAAAACAATCTGTTCGATCATTTTAGCTTAGCTTTGGATCTCCTACAATTGTTCTGGCTAAAATAGTTCGTATGATTATCATTTTTGTAAAGGATGTATTATATGTCTTTTTAAGAAGTTCGAATGGCCTCTTTATTTGCTTGCAAATTGACTTTTTCCTCAGTAGTGTTACGTTTAGTGATGGAAACCCCTTTGCAAAGTCTTTGACTGTGAATAATACACTTTTAATGAAACATCATCAATTAGGAATACAAAAGCACTTTATTATTGTGTGATTTTCTTATGGATGAACTGTTTAGGAGTTAGATGTCGACTGATACTGGTTTATTTTAGGTCGATACCTATACCGATTATTTTGACACCAATCTGCTACAATGAGGCGATTTTTTTGCCACCCCCCATTTTTTAAAATAAAGTCATTACTATTTTATGTTTTTATGATAGAAATGACACATTGATACAAAATGTTAATGGAACCATAACAAAGTAAACAAAGCACTAACAGTGGATTACAACTGGAGAAATCACCAGTGCATGGGCAAATTTTTCCTTTTATGTTTAACAGCAACAATGAAAAATGACGAGCACTGCTTTCAAAAACAGGCGTTTGTTTAATCTCCTTTTGGAGGTGACCTTCATTTAAAGGGCAGTTCAAGCTGTGATACATGCTGTAAAAAAAACAATATTTCACTACAGTGAACATAGAGCAAACTAAATGTTTGTAGCTAGTGCTGTTTCATAGTCACCTACTTTATTAGTTACAAGTACCCATCTTAGAACAAATACTGATGTCACCTTGAGACCAAGAAGTACATTGGTTGAAAACAAATCTAAAATTTTACACAAATTAAACCTTTTCTAAACAAACCAATTTGATTAATGGATTGTATTAAATGATCATTCAGTCCAAGTTTTTTGGCAGGGAGTGGCCTAGTGTTTAGGGCATAGAGCTTGGAATCCTGAGGTTCTGAGTTTGAGACCGACTGCCAAAAATTAAAATTAGCTTCATTTGATCTCAAGACATGACTCCTGAATAATGGATGAATATATGCAGATATCTAATGCTGATACAAGAAAATAACATGTTAATATCGTCCAACTGACGTATCTACCTCTAATAGGAAGGGAAGAAAAATCGGTCCATCTGTTTAAAAGCAGGGGTGCGCAACTCCAGAACTTAAAGTGTGGCTCTGCAGGTATTGGATGTGTAATTTCAGGTGAAAAAGTATTTCTTTTGTCAGACTTTCAATCAATTCTTTCAGAACAGTGTCACCTCAGCTTTTGAATTTGACCACTCTGTGTAGTTCAGCATCTTTTGGATGCTATCATCTCTGTCAGCTGGTAGCATCTTATGTAGTGAGACTATCCTAAAACTGAATATTGTTTGGCGTATATAAGGTTATACTCCTAAGTAGGGAAACTAACAACCCTCAAAGGCTCCATTCAAAACATATATTATCATGTGCAAATACCCTTCTTTTTTTTTTTTTTTTTTTTTTTTTTTTTTTTTTTTC